TCTTTGTTTTACAGAAGCTGGGTAGCTCTGCAGCTGTTCTCCAGAATTTTCTCCATGCATCTTAAGCAAAGTGATTCAAGTTCTTTTAATTTGTTAGTCCTATCGTCTCGGATCAAAATCCTAAATAAAAACATCTCTGAGTTTTGAGATTCAGGTCCTTGTTTATCACACCTATGTTACAGCTGGATCTAGTCTCCATATCTGTTCAAAATTAGTGTCTTGGATATATATTCTTATAAAAGCAGTCACCTTGATAGCAGAATACTACTTTTCTCTCTTGACTGGTAGCTCAGTCTTTGCTGCATTGTTAGAAATAATTCAGTGCTTTACAGATTTATCAAAATCATCAGCCTATAATGTTGTCACTAAATGTATCTGTAATAAGGCTGTAATATGATTAAAATAAATCTCACTTTGTGTTCTGTAGTATCAGTTTTAAAAGATAGTTTGAGTTCTGTTACAAAACATTCAATTGTCTAAGTTTTTAATTTGATTCTTGTGAACAGTAAATTATTTTCTATTTGAAAGGAAAGTCAGGGAGGATTTGCTTTGTTGCCTTTTCTCTTTCTCTTTGAAAAAACATCTAAGACTTTGTGGTGCATTTTCTGGCAGAGTGCACCATCAATAATGCTACCATGTGTCCAGGATTTGGCACAACTTTACTTTCTGGTTTGTTGCCATCTCCTTGATAAGGTCACAAAAATTCCAGCAGGTACTGGGTAGTGCAATTTTCAGAGCAGGTCTTATCCTGTTCCTTTAGTCTTTGCTTCCAATGAAGAGCACTCCATTTAACTTGCCTCTCCATGCCTCCTTTCCCTGTGATCTCTCTCTACAGTTAATGTGGAGCAGATAAGCTTCTCAGAATTTCAATTTGCCTGAAAAGAATGTTAAGTTTTCTTGCAAAAATTTTTTTTTGTTCATCTCAAATGTTTCTTGATTTTTTAACTTGTTTTGTGTACAGTGCATTAGATATTGAAGTCACTGGGAATGAATCTCCACACAGCAGCCAGACTGTGAAGGAGGGGAACTAGGTGCACCCGTGGGACTTGACATCTGGGCTTTGTTTCTAGTCCTGCTGGCATTTTGCTCTCCCTTCTCCCATTCGTAAAAAGAGAGTGGGCAGGATTTCCAACACTGAAACACATTTTGGGATGCAAAGATGTAAATTCTAAGTAAAAGATTTTAGGTGGATATCTGTTTAAAGCTAAAAAAAGACAGCACTATCTGCACTGTGATGTACCAACATGATGTTTCAAGGAGTGGAACAAAGGGGAAGCACCAGCTCTGCATGTGGGAGCACTGTGGGCAGTGGGAGGCTGCTAGAGAACCCACAGATTGTGTCTCCATGCTGCCTCTGCTGCACCCTGACCTGGTGAGGAAGACGTGCAGGAGGGTGGACCCCTACAGCACTCCTTGCACGGAGTAAGATTTTCACCAAGGCCAGTGCTCCACTGGCTGTTTTAAATTGCAATGGGGAGAGCTCCTCAGCAGAAGGCTGTAACAGACTAGGACTGATCAAAAAGGGGGGTGTGTGTGTGTAAATGTTTTCCCTAAATGCTCCATTTTTGCTAAACAATAAAAGCCGAATTGATTTTGCTTCAAAGCTTTGCTGAATTTTGTGGGCTTGCTTTCAAGAGGAAAGGATGTGTTTGGGTGGGGTTTTGTTCAATTTTTCTAATTTTTTGAAAAGTACTATACAACCAGATCCTGCCATTTGTGAAGTAGTTTGATGCTGAAAATATCCAGTCAGCACTGATCAGTGGTGTTGAGTCAGGTTCTTGTCTTTGTAGAAGCAATGTGCACCATTGTGTGTGTCGAGGCTGAGCCCAGACTGAAAGAGCTTTTCAAGCCCCGCTCTTGACACCATGCTCTGAAATCAGTAGATAGGCCATTTGTGTAATTAGACCTCAAGACAGCTGATGAAGAAACCAGGAAAGATGTGTGAAGGAGCTGGCTCACAGCTACGGCAGAGCCTGGTATCAGGGTAGGGATAGGACAAAGTGGAGCTGTGATTGAGCCCTTCTACCTTCAAACAACTCTGCTTTTCCCAGTACATCCTGGACCGGTGGTTCGCAGATTTTAGCCACTTATTTTCTGAAGGGGCCCTCAATGTCTATAGAGACTTGAAGCTAAACCACATTTCATGCCTTCTCCTTGGGAACGCCGCATGTCAACAATGGGTCGTTGTCGCAGTCTAGACAATGCTGGTGTCGTGATGAGAAACAAGTGCCTTGCTATGTGTGCCATGGTACATGCCATTGAGAAAAAGCACTTGGTTTCTTCCACTAAAGCTCTGATTCAAGGGATATTGCAGAAATGTCTATTCCACATAAAAAAAAAAAATAATGTATGTGAGCTACTCTGTTTTTGAAAACTTACACATTTTTTCCTCTATTAAATTGCTTCCTGGTGATGGAAATGTCTGGGATTTTTTTTTCCTACTGCATCTACTTTCCTTTAGCTTGCACACCCCTGAGGTAATTAGTGTAGGTTAAAATTTACATAACTGACTTAGGGGTTTTGCAAATAGGAAAGATGGAAATTTATTCAAGGTGGTGAATAATTCATTTTAAAGCGAGTTTCCTGTTTTTTTAATCATGTAGAAGATGTATTACAGACTCATAGAGGTTTTCTGAGTAGGACCTTGAGCACTGAATTTTTGATATATTTTTTTCTTAGTATAGGTAAAGAAATATTAACCGTGACTCATTGCACTTTTCCTGTTCAATAAGATTTGAATAAACTTAACAAATTTATTAGGTAGATGATAGAGCTTTTTAAAAATTATCATGACACACTGTGACAAATATTTTGCTAGGATCCAGAAGAAATAGTTTTAAATCATATTCCCATTGCCACTTCAGAGGCAGAGATGGAAAACAGTGCAGTTCATACAGAGAAGCCTGATTCATATTTTCTTTTGAATATTCATTATTTAATTAAGATTAGGAAGATAAACAAGGGGATTGGACAGCTGTGGGAGTCTGGTAATAAAATAATTTTTTTTAAAGAAAACTTCTTTGCTACTGGCTCAGTGAAAACCTGGAATGGTAATGTCTGAATGTTGTTACAGTGTTATGGCTACTTGATATTTTACATGAAGTAGGTTTACTGTTTCATCTTATTTCTTAATCTAAGTACTCACTTCAAAAATAGCTTTCACAGACATCACCAAGAACTACATCCAGGAGAAAAAAATGTGAACCAAACACTACTTCAGCTTTCTGAACTTTAGCTTTAACTGCCTCTGCCCAAAACTTGAGTTCTCTTGCCATGTTCCCTGGCGACTGCAGCCTGTTGGACTGTGGGAAGTGTCACAGGGTGCTCCTGACAGACCTAACCAGACAGTGACCAGCTCTGCTGGAGCAGAACCCAGGGCAGAGCCAGCTCCCACCCTTCCTGGGGACGGGGTGTAGGTGGTGATTTACCAGCCTGGTGGAGGAAATCAGTGCCAGTAGGGATGGGAGAGAAATGGGTCCTGCACTAGAAAGTCCTAGTAAATTTTAACCAAAAGCTGTTCAGGAGCAGGAGGGCTTGGTTCTAACCAGTGGAGGAGCAGTGGTCAAGGAAGCATTGCCCATGACACAATTGCAATATGGAAAACTAATTTTGAGGTAGTTCAGTCATGCCACCTTTGTAATTGCTTGTGTGTGATGCTAGACCTGGAGGATTTAGCACCCATCAAGATAGCTGTTAGGACTGCCAATAAATCCCACTGTTCTTTAAGGCAACGATGTTGTCTCTGCTTTAATTTTACGGGGTTAAAAAAGTTACATTAAAAGCTACATGCACAGGCTTTTGTTGTTTTTGTCTGTTTTTACACTCTGACAGTTTTCATTTTGGAAATAAGTAGGATGCTTTGCTTTAGTCTTCAACAGACCCTTGCAAGTTTCCCTGAAAACAGCCAGAAATTTATCAAAAAATTAAGAGATTTGGAAGAAAGGAGATACTTTAACAGCCAGATATGGAGCCCTGATAGGGAGTTTTTCTTCACTGACTGTTGCATTGTCTCCCTACCAAAATGACTTTTTGCCTTTGACGCTTGATGAGAGTAGAAGTGGAGCATAGTTTCACACTGTTTAGGAGACCGTCTAGGGTACACAGTAGGACGCCTTCTTCTGTATTGGTAGTGTTGTATTCACATTTTATGTTGGTCTCAGGGGCAACCAGTAGAAGATCCAGACATGACAAATGCCCTTGAATGTTCAGCAGGATCTCTGAACAGTGCAGGTCATGGGGAAGAATTTTGTTTTCATGAGTGTACAGCCCTCAGCAGTTATTCTTATGAGTTTTTGCACACAGAACACAGCCTAATACATGCTGATGCTAGCTTCTAGATGGAAAGACTTTTTCAGCTTGCTGTGCAAGGGAAAAATAACTTCAAGCCCTCCAGCTTCATGAGCTGCAGTGGGGAGAGAGGACTGCTCATGTGAGTTAGCCTCCTACGCACTGTAACCTCCAAAAATGCCAGTCCTTCTACCAAACATTTAAAAATGTCTGTAGTGAGACAAGAAAGACATCAAGATTTGGAGCAGATTTAAAGAAGGGTTTTAAGATGTGAGTTCTCTGGTCTGTGCCTAACTGCTTTGTGTGCTCTTTTGTTGTGTGTGTGTGTGCAAACACACTTGCTGATACATGAATGTATGTTGCTTACATATGACTGTCTGATTAGGCCTTGTAATAATAAGGACTGTAGGACACTACTGTGTAAAAGTATACATTGTACCAAAAAACTTTTAAAACAAGATGAGAGCTCAGTTTCTCTTGGAAATAATGCAGTAAACATGGGAAAACACACAGAAAAAAAAAGTTGTGGAAAAAAATTGTAATAAAGTAATGGTGGCTGAAGTTCCTTATTGCTTGTGAAAAGCTTCAACCAGAGGACCTAAGGCAAAGCTTTGGAAAATTGCACATTTATAGCTTTTATTTCCATGTTATTTCTATACACTTGGAAATAAATTCTGATTTTTCTTTTTCTTCTTGGCATGTAGGGCTTGAAGCACAAGGGAGCTTCTCACCGCAAGAAAAAAAAGTGGAGAGCCAGGATTCATGAACTCTTTCAAAGGTATGTCAGATAAGGGCTATTTTGTAATTCCATCTAGTGTACTTTCCTTCTAAAGTTCTTTCAGTTCTTTACAGATATTAATGAAGGAAACTTCTCCCAAACAAAGGACCTCAGGACTAGAAAAATTGAGCCTGTACATTTGAAAGAGGTCTCTGTTTTGGATTATCTCTGTTTTCAGATGCCCAGCTTGGACTCTAGTTTTTAAGAGCTGCACACAGTGCACTTCAAAAGGTGGCCAAATGGCTTGTCTCAGCGTCCTTCACCTTTGCCTCTGAATTAGTCTTAGAGAGTGAAGGAAATAGGAATTGAAGCAAAGTTTTTGTGATCAATGACCTTGAGATAAATACATGCATTAAATTACCTGTAAAGAAATGAAGAGATGAAATAAAACCCCTCATGAATAGAGCAAAGGAAGCCATGTTCTGCTGTGACAGCTGATGAGCATGCTGCTGAGTACAAAAGAGGCCTAACTTCACTGAATAAATTATTCTCTTCAATCTAATACTCAGAGAAAGGAGAAAAATGGTGCAACTAGGAAAGAGATCAAATGTGGTTATTTAAATGTTTGATGTTCAGTAATGAAAACTGTTTACCTTCATAATTGTGTATTAGCAGCTAATAAAGGCAATAGATACAGTAGTTTAAAAGTAATAAAATCAACAACAAAGTGTATTTAATTTTAAATTGAATTGCAAGCAAATGGGCGTCCTAATGAACCCCTGTGTCAATGCAACTCTAACCAAATTAAGTGAAATAATTTCCATCATGAGAAGCGAAGTAAGTACAAAGTTCCAAACAACTTCTCTCCTTGAGAATGCTCTAACTTCTCAGATATTTCAGATCCATGAATTAGAGCCATTCAAGAGTCATCTTTTGTTATACTGCTGTTCAGGACAGCTAGATTCAAGTTGATGTGATTAAAGCTCAGGGATAAAACTTCAAATATGCTTGACCCTGTGCTTCACATATTCATTTAGTACTTGAATCTTGTCCTTATTTCTTGTCAGTCCTGGCTTGGGCAAAACTTCCATGTACTTCATTGCCACTAGCATCCACACAGACCTTCCAATTGATTCAGTTATTGCTTAAGAATTTAATTGTGATACAATTCTACTGTAGAGGAATCTGGAAAACAGTTTAGCTATGAAGCAGTGGTAATTTTGCTGATAATATGTAACTATGTACACATTCAAAAGAAAAGAAATAGGCAAGGTCTGAATAGAAACTGATTTGTAGCAATGTCCTATGATCTTGGGGGCAGGAGCATCTGTTTCAGAAGAGGGGAATTGGAAACATATGTTACCTAAGTAGTATGCATGCATGAGTCTGGGATGTTTAGCATGACTGTAATTTTCTTAATGGAGATCCATGTTAATCTTTACAAATATGGAGACCTCTCATGTAATCACCTAGCATGCAAGGGGGGAAAATGGGAATGATGGCATTGGTACTGAATTTTTCAAAACCAAATCAGAATATACTGAAAGAATACTTCAGAAATGCAGTCCAGAGAAATGCTTTTGATTTTGAGCTTCCCTTCCCTTCCCTTCCCATCCCTTCCCTTCCCTTCCCATCCCTTCCCTTCCCTTCCCATCCCTTCCCTTCCCTTCCCATCCCTTCCCTTCCCTTCCCTTCCCTCCATCATTCCATGGCTAAAGCCTTAGCCGAGTGCATAGCTTGGGAACATAAGACAGCCTGCTCTCTGATGCCTGTGTTGTAGACATCCCAGTCAATCCTGCATTGCAGGTGCACCTGATGCAGTGGTTTTTCCTTGGCTCCATGCAGCTCCTCTCAGGAAGCTGCAGGGAGTTCCCTTGACCTCCAGGATGGCTCAGGGGCAGCCCAGAGCCATGAACATCTTGCTGAGCCTCCACCTTCTGAGACCCACCATGTCTTTGTGCCTGCACTGGCTCCACCTGCAGTGTGGCTGGAATGTCACCAGCACTGGTGTGACTGACTGACCCGCCCTGGCCTCCTAAAGCACGTTGTGGGAGAAAGAGCTGATGTGTTTCGAAGCCGGCAGAGCATCTACAGATGTTCTTACTTAGGGTCAATAATATTTAGATGCTGATGACACTTAGGAATAGATGAATTACTTATGGTTCTGTATCTGTTGAAAGATGGGATGGGATTGCCAAAACATGCAGCTTTATAGTGCTCATTGTAAATGACTTATTTTTGCATTTGCTCCTGCTGTGTTCTAGGAATGAGGTTTTCTCATAGGGTACTGTGCCTTTTGTGTATCCAGTCCACTAAGAAGGGCAGCATTGGGTTATCTTGTGTTGGGCTATTCTTGCACTATTTGCTGATATTCTCTGTTGCTGTAGTGACCTTCTTCAAAAATAAAAACCCAACAGCTTTGAGTTTATATAAAGTACCCTCCAAATCACTTTAAATACAAAAGAAGTTAACGTGTGAATAACAAGGAAGGTTCTGTGGTTCACATACATCTGAAAGTTTGTGTATGTGCATGTATATAATTGGTACATGTACCTCTTGTCCTGTATCTATTCTGAAGATTTATAAATTATGTAAGATATACATATAATATTACAAGACTTTTTTGGAAAAAATAAGTCAACAAAAAGGTAACATTTTTAAAACGAGAATTAGTTTTATTTTAGTGGTTTTTGAGCAACTTAGGTCCCAAAGAATCAGTGTTTTCTAAAAACCTGTCCAAGTTTATTGAAGCTGTCAGTCAGTTCTCAAGGTGGTGACAGAGGCAATGGCTTCCACTGAAATATTCTTAACCTGGATCTTAAGTCCCAACGCCAGACAGAGTTGATTACAAACAGGCAGTGAAAGCTGGGGCTCCTTATGTCAGCCTGTGAAGCAGACTGACAAATACTGGTCTTGTTTTTATTTTTTTTTCTCTTTTTAATGCTGCTTTTTGAAGCCTAAGTATTTCTCTGCTTCTTCACACTCTTGTTTCTCCTGGGTGCCCTGCAAGTCTTACGGTATGTTAGAGGAAAACATCAAAATGTTGTATTTCCATCAGTGAGTGCTTTCTGTGTGTGCATTGTAGTTAATTTCTTTCCCATTCTTCTCATTCTACCCTCTGCAGAGTGGGAAGTCAGCTACTGAAAACAGAGCAGAGTGGAATTGAAGAAGAAATAGTAGCCAGCTTTGGTAACCTTACAGATGTGAATACTGGATTAAATGGAGCAGCAGGACCTCGTGGGAAGGTGAGATTCTATATGAGTGCTCTTTTCCTTCATGTGAACTGCTAAATCACTGGATCAATTGCATTCCATTATTGTATTTTGTTTTGGTTTGGATTTTTTATCTTTTTGCAGTTTAAGAGGATAGAATTTAGCAGGTTTCAAAATATGCTTTCCAGCAAAAGTAACCATATGCTTAAAGAGAATGTCTAAAGCTATTAATGATGAATCATTTGGGCATGGCAAGAGTTCTTCAAAACAGTTTGTCAGCGCTGGCCAAGCAAAGTCTTTCAGCAAGAGATGAGACAGCTATGCCACCATGCAAATGAGACAGGCTTGAAATATGATGAATCTTCTATCTCCTTTTCCTACTCGACTGACACTCGCTTTGAGGAAGGTTGTAAATGCAAGAGAGATTGTGGTATAATTCCTCAGACTGGCGTTTCTGCCCCCCAGTCACTATTCGATTATCTTCCAAATTGCTGTGTTTCAGAGAGATAAAGATTTTTTATGGCTTGCTGACTTGAAACAACCAGAAGAGCCAGAAAAGAGATGGCTAACCGGCCATGCATAGTAATTCCATTGGTAAATGACAAAATCTTTGTTTGTATGACATTTCCAAAGTTACTACAGAAGATGAATCTAAAATACAAAATGTCACATTTGGCATGCAAAACTATCACAATATATTTCAGTATAAAATTCATAGAGGCGTTTAATTTAGAATGTGTTTAATAACGAAGGCTGCCTGCATCAGTAATCCTGCCTTGAGGTTTAAAAAGATTGTCTTATTTATTCATATAATGTTAATTTTTTTATATATGATTCAGAAACCAAAAATATTAAGGTTAAATCTTCATTGTTAATTAAGATTTTCTAATTAAGCTGAAAATAATTGTCATTCAGATTAGTTGTTAAGTATGGTTTGTGTTGAGAAACAAAAGAAGTTTAACAAATTCAACTGTTTATTTAACTGCTTAATTTAATTCCAGAAGCTTTCTATCTATATGGAAATATGCTATCTCTTCCAAAATAAATCCAAGACAGGATTAAAGAAGAGATTATTAGCTACTGTAGGCTTAAACTGTGAGACCCCTAAACCTACTAGTCAAGGTAGCCATGTGATTCCTAAGTGTGGCACGGGTTCTGATATCCAGTTGCATTAAAAGAAGATCCAGCACTAGTCTTTTCTCAAAATAATGCAAGAAATTGATTTCTTGGGGAAAAGCGAAACAACAATGCTGATTTTAAGCACTATATAATTAGTTATGGTAGAAACAGTTTTATCCATTCAAATCAACACTGGAGCCTAACTGGGCATCCCTGTTGTTGTGTGCCTGACCCTGCAGATTGCATTTGGGCAGCACCAAAATATCTTCTGGTACAGTGGGACAGACTCTACGCCATTATTCAGGCAAAGTTGAGTAAAGATCATGCTATTGTGCCTGTTGCCTTCCACAAACCTCCACACTGGGAATCGCAGCATACAAGGAAAGCACCAGAAAAGCATTTACTTACTAAATATTCTGAAACTCAGACAACACGCCGTCAACAGCAAGTGGCAGATGTTTTCTTTTGTCTGGACTTGGAATAAAGGTGCCTGTAGGGAGTTTTTATTAAACTCAACACGTGTTGCACTTTGATTATTATTTTTAAGAGAATCTGATTATGATAATCAGAAGGTGAAAGGATAGTCTGCATTTTACACAGCACTAATAGCTTTGACAAGGCTAATAATTAGTATAAAAACATGGCCTGCCCTGTCTTTCTCTCTGTGCCTGCAGCCTGCTCATCACATCTTGTATTGTGCCAGTCTTGAAAAGCATGCTATATTTTTGAAGGTATTGTTTTCCAGTTAATTCTGCCTCATTATTATAGGGTAGTGTATTCTGGTGTCATACTTCACTGGCTCCACCTTCCCCCAAGGATGCTGAACATTTTATTAGTAGTATTTGTATTGTTTTTCCTTTTATCTACCATCTCTATGACTTTTGACCTCCCTAATTGCAGATCCTTGGTAAGCAGTAGGTAATTGCAGGTTGAACAAGAAGCGTGTTGTCTGCTTTTCAGTAGTTATTTTCTGGAAGAAATTTGTCCTTGCTAATTGTATGGTTAAAGTGAGCCCAGCCCAGATCAGTAACTCTCAGCCTTCTCCCTAGGTTGACTGCTCCAAGATGCCACAGCCGCTAGAAATTCACCTCAGATGCCTGAGGGGAGTCAAAGATAAGGTCCCTAAAGGCCTCTACACTCTCAAAGTTTCTGTTCTCAGCCGCTTAGGTGGTGCCTTGGTGGAGCTGGAGGAGCAGCCTCAGGCCAGGACGACGCGGCCTGTTAGTCATGGTGGAAACTTCTACAACACTGAAATCTACTTTGGACAAAGTATCCAGACAGTAAGCAACACTTCATAAATATGCTGTCTTTGCTTTGAAAGTTAAAACACATCCGCCCCTTCTCCTTTAGGCTTATATATTTAATGCATTCCATCATGTTAATAATTTATTTAATAATTTAAGGTGCAATTTAGGAAGGTGCAATTTTTTTCCCCCTAGGTTAACCCTCATCACTCACTTTAAGGGTGCCAAACATATGCTACATCATCTAGTGTTGTCAGCTAATTTTAAATTTTAGTTTTATTCTCTCTTATCTATGCAGCTTGTCAGCTATGTAATTTGATTTCTGTAAAGTAGCTTTAGAATAATAAATGAATGAGTGGGTGTATATAAACACATGAATGCCCAAATCCTTCTGTGAGTTTTTAGCTCCATTGACCCCCATTTGCCAAAAAAGCAGCATTTGGATTATTTTGGAAGGAGCCCAAACACTTGAGGCTCTATTCTGTCTTTTGCAACTGAGGCACACATATTTTCCTGTCTAAGCATGCTGTGCATGGCAGGATTGTTGTGTGTCAGTTGCTCACTGTTGTAGCTAATGCCTGGTGCTGGTTGGAGCACTGGTCTCCAATAAACTCTCTGGCACATGAAAGCTTCTTTACAGTTTGAAAAACAATCTTCATCTCTCTCAGTGTGGTTTTTTTTGGAGGGTTGTTTTTTTTTTTGTGCATGTTATGAGGCATTGTAGAATGAGGAGTCTTTTCTGTTTTCAGTTGTTATTTTGTTGTATGTCCTGAACGGTAGATTTCCTCCTCCATGTGTTCTGTTGTGTAGATACAGAGCAGACAGACAGCACCTGTCCCAAAGAGCTTTCAGATAAACTTTTCTGTGTGGCACTGATGTCTTCAGTTACTTGCAGATAATAATTTCAGATGTTGGGTTTGTTGTACATAAAATGCTGCTAAGTCACATTTTCTGCTTTTTAATAGTTTATCACCTGTAATTTATAACGAACAGTGTCTGTAAGTACAGCTATTGGTGCAAAAGGAACTGCATGTGTAGAGAGGGAAACTGCAAATGGAACTTTGACATGTTAAAACAAATCCAGACGTCTGTCAGAGAAATCACTGAGCTGTGATTCCCTCCTAGGCAGGATGCACCTGTCTGGGTCACTTGCCTTGAAGTACTGTCTTGAAAGGAGAAGACTGGGTGCTAGGACTGAATAACTCTAGCATGTCCTGCTTCTTACTTTTAGCATCACATATCTTCTTGGTCTTTGCAGGTTTTGCACTTTCAGGTTTGCTTCAAAGTTCTCTTGGAGCTTCACAGGGGAAATTTAATTAGCATCTTCACCAAACTTAATTTTTAGTTTAGTGAACTGGGGTGCAGGAATTGGCAAGTGCCCTTAAAATAGAAGAATGGGAGAAGCTGGATTAAATGACCTGCTGGTAATACCCTATCTTCATTACTGAGTGATGTACAGCAAAGCTGTAATTTTAGAGAATCCTCTCCACCAGCTCATTTCGGAGACAGAGGGTATGTTGTACCCTGGATGACTCTACCTTTCTGTTCTTCCACCTTGGTAGTGGTTCACAACCTTAAGGTATGTTTGAAAAGAAACCCTTAGAGTGTGTGCTGAGATATGAGGCAAATTTTAGGCTTCAAATGGTTAGCATCTACCACATGACTTAGGGTAAGTAGTGAGGTCTTAGTGGTGAGCTTCATGTGAGGATCTGGGTTTGAACAGAATCTTACACACAGCACTGCTGCACTGGGATATATTATGGTGTGAGAAATAGAAGCACTCACAAATGAAGAATATGCTTTTGTTTCCACCGGCCAGAATAATAATAGGAGTTCAGTGTAAACATGGTGAAAATGAAGACATGCATGCTTGATATTGAAGGAAAGCCTAATTTTAACTAATATATTAGAGAAATTGTTCCAGAACACTACATCCTTCCAAAAATAATAACCCTGTCATGTCGGCAAAGTTGGTGTCAGCGTGGGTTACCTGCTGTGTACAGAAAGTGCTGGTCATGTAAGTTAGATCTGCCTCAGGGCTAGTCTGACTTGCACACCCGACCTTTCAAAAATGTTTTTTGTTCATTAATCAATGTTCTTTGCTCCAGCTTGCCAGCTTCCCCTCTTTCCGCTCCTTCATTGTCCTCCTTTTTAGTTTGTCAACCTACCTCCCCCAGTAACCTCTGACTACATACTAGACAGAGGCTCCTAATAGCTCCAGTTGAATTTTATTTATCCTTCAGTAAGGCCAGACAGTCACACAAGTCATTTATTTTTCTTAAATTATGCTGAAAGAAGCATGTATGAATGCTTTGGATTGTGGTAAAACACGATTGCTGTTTCAAATGACTTTTTACAATTTTATGAATAGCAATGAACTGCATGATATGAAGGGAACTTGTTTTAGACTCAGCATTTCTAGGATATTTTCATGTATTTAGTTTCTGTAAGTGGGCTTTAGGCTTTGATAGATTAAGTCTGTATGGTTTAGGCAAAGTGAGAGCTATTCTGAAGTTTCACCTACATTGTAAAACAAACTCAATATGAATTTGAGATTAAAAAATTGTGGTATAGGGTAACTGGTGGTGAAAGAGCTTTGTTCCTAAAATTCCAATATATTTTTGCACTGCCAGGTTTTTCTCAGGTCTGGAATGGAAGTAAGGACAGGATAGGAAAGGAGATAAGATGCTTACTGTCCATAGAGTAAGGCAATTATGCAGCTAGGTTGTCCTTGGCAGCATCTGTTCAAAGGTGGCTGCATCATCTTTACACTAGAACAAGGATTTTACAATTATAACTTCCTTATTGCTGTCTTATGGTGGTTAATATCCTATGATAGAGAAGATCTAAGCAGTCAGTAATTTTTTTTGGATCATGGTGTATTTAAAGCAATGTTTTACTCCACAGGATTATGTCTCAATGTCAGCAAGTCCAGATTACAGTTTTCATCTTAATGATGACTTGAAGAACACAAATGAGTTGCAGTATGCAAAAGTTTAATTTCACTCATAAAAAGAAAATGCTGGGGTTTTTTTTATTTTTTCTTTTTATTTATTTTTTTTTCCTGGCTGGCTTTTCTAAAGTTCAGCAGACATTAAAATAATTGTATGAAACAATTACAACAACAAGAACAAATTTCATTTTTCAGAATCAAAATATTCATTGGCTTCAATGGAATAAAAGTCGGAGTGTGGTAAAAATGCTTCTCTTCTTTTAAAAAAACTATTTTCAGCTATAATTTCAATTATCAGGACCAAAATGTTTTGTTGAAAACTACCAACTTTGCCTACAGGTAGGAACCTTTAAGGAATGTGTTCCTATTTGAAGTATTTGCAATTTCTGAAACACTTCTTTAGAAAAAATTATTGTCCATTAAGTGGAGTTTTATTCAGAATGGGAAGTTCAGATAGGAAATTTTCAGCTATTGTGAAGGGCACTATGAGCCAATGAGTCTGCCTGCAAGTGACATTTAAAAAACATTCATTATGCTGTCCAGTCATCTGGGAAGTCAGTCCAGCACTGCTGAACAGAAACGGGGACAATTGTGTCAGGGCTGAACTCCCCAAATTTGTTTTTAACCCTGGTCTTGCTGCATCCATTTGTCATCAATCCTTATTCTGTGAGAGCCTTTCAAAACTGGCACTTCAGCTGAAGAGGTGTGAGCTCCACAAGTGTATAAGCACTGGTGCTACACATTTTCCCCAGTGTACCTGGAACTTGGGATAGAACTGAGTCTGTTCATATGCATGAAAAGATACCATTGCTGACAGAACAGTTCACAGAACTGAGGGTTTTTAAAGAGTATATCAACTGGTTAATATTTATGTATCAGCGTGGTGAGGTACTGGCAATATTATAACAGTAGCTGGGTACCATTTTGTTTTACTTGAGGGAAATTCAATATGAATAAAACAGCAACTTTTCAAACATGACATTTAATCCACTCATGTAAATCATACCAGGAGATCTATTATTCATTATTAAAAGGGCACCATATTTTTATTATACTGAAAATGAAACACAAATGCTGTGAAAAATTTAGTGCCTTTTCCTGAAGTTTCAGGACACTTATCATGCAGTCATCTAGCAGGGGCTGACACTCATTTTAAAATATAGCTACAAAATTAATAAATTTGAACTCTTTTGCTTGGAACAAGAGGATGTTCTATTTCACTGAATGAGGGATTTATTATTTATTTAAGCCTTCCTAAATACTTCAGATAGCAAAGTCTTTTGATAATGTTCACATTTGGAGTTAGATTTGTAATGACTAAAGTTCATATCTTTGTTGTTATTACTCATTTCCAGCATTTTCTTCCCTGAAGTGCATTTTGAAAACTACATATATCAGAAACTGATTAACATGACCTTAGGTATTAATTCTTAAAATATGATGAAACAAACAGTTTCAAGGACATTATTTTCTGTATGTCAGCAGCTGTCTAAGTACTGTGATGCTTTTAATTATTACAAACCAAGGTATCATTAGGAAAAGTAGACCACAAACTTCCCTTTCCCCCTCCTCCTCTTCTCCTGGTTTATTTTATTCTTGAATGAAAAGCTTTCACAAGTGAAGAACATCTAGCTCTAGGACACTATAGGACATAACATAAGAGTTTGATACAGTACGAAGAAAAGATAGTGCTTGGCAGTGCCAGAGGACTTTCAAAATGAGAGCCACTTAAATTTTCTCTGGATACAATTATTTGTAGTTGGGATGAAAAGGTGCTACGTGAACCTTTCAGTAAATTCAAGAACTAAGCTTATACAGACCCTTGTATTTATTTGAAGACTGCAGTGCTGCTGTTTTTTTCACAGAGAAGGAAATGATATTTTTTACTGCTTTTATTCTGTTTGTATGAGTTTGTTTGGGGGTCTGGTCTTTGGCTGCCATTTGCTAGATATCTCTGCAACAACTCCTCAAAATGCACATTCTCAGAGCAATTCTTACAAAACTATTGCATATTAGAATCTGTTGTGTCTACTTTGTTAAGTACTGTGCAATTTATTTACATATCAAAAAGGTTACTACTTAT